TCCTGTCCCCACCACCCTGCAGAAATCTGATCTTCAGCAGAATGACTAATAGGAGAGGAATTTTCATAGCAACTGTCACATGCTTAAATGACCCTCTATTACTAAACTCCACAAAGATATCCATGCTATTTTTGTATTTCCTTTGATTCTGAAACCCATCTTTCATCTTTATTAACAAATTGCCTTTTCTTTTTTATTTAACCAGGGTCTATTTCTATGACATGTGCTTTAAAAATTCTGACAACCACTAAATCATTAATGAATTCTAAAATAACTGTGTTAGAGGAAAGAAGGATCTATTACAGAACCAGCAGATGGTCAAAGGGAAGAAATTACAGTATTTGAAAAAATATTCAACCTTGCTGGTAACTAATAAAAATACTCATTAATGAATTCCCTCCTTTAAACTGGCACTGTTGAAAAAAAGTTTCTGCGATGATAGAAATTTTCTACATCTGTATTGTCCAGGATACTGAGCACTTGAAATGTGTCTAACACAACTGTGAAAGTAATTTTTAAATTTCATTTAATTTTAATTAATTTGACTTTAAGTACAAAAGTACTAGTAGACTTACTGCAGAACACAGCTCTACGTTAACAAAATAATTATATCTACTGTTTCATGTTCTCAAGAAAGCATTACTAGTAGCAATATATGGGTCAAGTCCTTCAAATAGTCTGGAAATATTTATCAAAAACTATACAAAGGCTCATTTTTTTTTGGGCTAATAAACATATCAAATTATACAAAAGAAGAAAAAAGGGCCAAAGAATGAAAGGTTTTTTTTTTTAGTAGCAGTATAGTGCTAACAAACTAGGTGAGAACTCAAAATGTCCAAGAAAAGGGAAAGGGGTAATAACAGTCAAACTATAAATACCTTACTATATAGTTAATACATATCTCAACACATAATTAAAATATAGTTGAGGTCATCACAAATAAATTAGAAGGCCATGTAAACACAAAGAATATCACAAACAAAATGTTAAATCATACAAGAGACCAAATAAACACATTAGATAATATATCATAATCATTTCTGAAGAAGTTATATATATAATATAAAGATCAGGGGGTCTACAGAGAAATGTAGTTGTATTTAGCAGTATATATTTTAAACTACTTCCTAACATTTCTAAATGACGTGGAACATTTCTTCCTTTAAACATTACCAATTTTGTTTTATTTTTTGATGCTATTCCCAGGATGTCTCAAATTAGTGAAATTCAAGTGGTTCTCCCACTTCAACCCCCAAGAAGCTAGAACTACAGGACTCAGGCCACTCTACCCAGCTAATTTTCTCTTTCCTTCCTCTCCTTCTTTCCTTTTCTCCTTTCTTTTCTCTCTTTCCTTACCTCTTTCCCTTCCCTCCTTTCCTTCCTTCCTTTCTTTTGACACAGGATCTCACTATATAGCCCAACTTAGCCTGAAGTTTCCTATGTAGCCCAGGCTGGCCTTGAATTCACGATTCTCTTGCCTCAGTCTCCAGAATGCTGGGATAACAGATATAGACCACCACACACAGCCCATCTAATTTTTAAATGACCTTTTACTTTCTGACTAAAATTATCATTTCCTCTACTTTTAACCAACAGAAACTTAATGAATGAAAATAATCTAGTAGACTATATAGCTTTGACCTTCTAAATAAAAAGGGTTTGTAAACCATGAAGCTTTACAGGGAATTAACACAGAGCTATATATGGGCAAATTCTTGAATTCTCTACAGCTTCCTAAACAGTATATTCAATGATTTCAACTATTTGCTGGTATAGTGTCTCCAGGCTACCACATTTTTCAAATTTACTCAGTATGTCATATAAATACTGTCACTTTATACATGAAAAAGAATAGAAAGGGTTGAGGATGTAGCTCAGTTGTAGACTGCTTGCCTACCATTCATGAGAACCTGTGTTCATTCTCTAGCATTGACAAAAAGGAAAAGAAAAAGAAAAAGAAAGGATTGGAAAGTGCTACCTTAATGGATTAAGAGATCTCTTTTACACCCTTGGTTCAACCCAGTTGCAGCCTAGAAGCTAGAAATGAAGTCAATTCAGCCATGGAATTACATTCTGTAGCAGTTCTATCTCCAAAGGTTCCAAAATTTTACCTAGCCCAATTAACAAGTGAATAAAACTTTTAAGGGAAAATATATATAAAGACAGGGTGTGGTGGCACACATTTGTAATTCCAGCACTCAAGAGGCTAATGCAAAAGATCATGAATTCCAGGCCAGCCTGGGCTAACTGAAACCCTGCCTCAAAAAAAAAAAGGCTTTAGGGGGGCGGGGCGCCGGGTGGTGTGCGAAACAGGTTCTCACTTTGAAGGTCAGGCTACCCTTGAATTTGAGATCTTCCTGCCTCAGTCATCCAAGTGCTAGGATTATAGGAATGTGCCACCATGCCCTGACAAAAAGGTTCTATTTTTTTCAAGAACACAGTAACTGAAAATACTAAGATCCTACTTTAAAATTTCTTCTTGTTCTTTTTTATATTTAAATGTCAATCTTTCACATATAGTTATAACTTGTGTTCAGTGCTTCAGACAGTCTACATCTACAATGAAATGCTCAAAAGCTAAAGTTCATTCAACCAAAATAATTACCTTGTTGATGCTGTAACACTACTTGATTCCAGGATGTTTTCTGTCATCCTTAATTGTACCATCTCTGGCATGTTATTTGATTTTTCTGCACCCTCTTCTGGAAGTTCTTCTATGTGTTCTAGCTTCTCATCCTCCTCTTCTTCCTCAGATAGCTCATTAACCTTAATAAATAAAAGGAAACCCAAAACTAAAATTTAGTGAACTGTTTCTTGATATATCATGAACATAAACAACTAATTTTTTTAATTCCTCATTTCCTAAGATCAAACTATTCCATGAAATAAGAAACTGTCAACTTTTTTATATCAAAATAAAATTATAAGACTGGGGGTATAGCCCAATAGCAGAGCACTCGCCTAGCATACGTGAAGCCCTGGGTTCAATCCCCAGCAGCACTGCAAAAATAATAAAAATTAAAAAATGAAGAAGAATGAAATCTTATCATTCGCAAGTAAATGGATGGAACTGGAGAACATCATGCTGAGCAAGGTTAGCCAGGCTCAGAAGACCAATAATCGTATGTTCTCCCTCATATGCAGGCTTTAGATCAAGGGCAAATACAGCAATGTGATTGGGCTTTGATCACATGATAAGGCAAGAGTACACAAGGGAGGTATAAGGATAGGTAAGAAACCCAAAAAACACAATAGTATTTGATGTCCTCAATGCAAAGGAACTAATGCAGAAACTTTAAAGTGACAGAGGCCAATAGGAGAAGGGGATCAGGAACTAAGAGAAAATGTCAGTTTGAGAACAATCAACTTAGAATGTAACACGTAAATACATGGAAGCAATGCTAGGAATCTCCCTGTATGGCTATCCTTATCTCAACTGCAAAAATGCTTTGTCCTTCTTATTATTGTTTACACTCTCTCTTCAACAAAATTAGAGATAAGGGCAGAACAGTTTCTGCCTGGAAGAAGGAGACGATGAGGTGTAGGGGGGGAGAAATGACACAAACATTGTATGCACATATGAATAAATGAATAAATAAATAAATAAAAATAGATAAAACTGTAAACAAGACAAACATAACATTCTGAAGCAGAAAGCGGTAACAGCGTTAGGACATCAGCAGGAATGTGAATAAGATTGCAAACTATTAAAAGGCCTGCACACTGCAGTTAACATTAAGAAACCTTCATTTTCTAATGAGTTTTGTAAGTCTACAAGCTACAAAAGACTTCTGATTTATTTCTCCAGTTTCCAGGTACATTAAGCAACTCATTTTAATACAGAGTAAGTATGAAAAATGTAAGGTGCAAAACATTGTCTTAAGTGTTAGCTACGAGCCAGTGCTGGTGACTTACACCTATAATGCCAGCTAGCTAGAAGAGATAAGGAGGAGAGCGATTCAAGGCTAGCCTAGGCAAACAGTTTGCCAAGACCCCATCTCCAAAACAGCCAGAGCAAAATGGACTGGAGGCATGGCTCAAGTGGTAAAGTGCCTGCTTTATAAGTGCAAAGGCCTAAGTTCAACACCCAGCCCTGCCAAAAAAAATACTTATGCTTTAGAATTAAAGTTTAGAAATTAAAATTTTAGAATTAAATTTTGAAATAATATTAAGATGTTTATGAAGAAATGGAACCCTATAACAAGAAGAAATTTTTATGTGGTTTCTTCATTCCTTTTCTTCTAAGAAATTTATTTCTTACAGCTCTGGAGGCTGTAAAATCCAAGATTGTGGAGTCATAACTGTGAAGGCTGCCCTTTTGTTTTGTTTTCTGTTTTTTGAGACAGAGTCTTGTTATGTACCCCTAGCTGGCCTTGAACTTGCAGTCTACCTGCCTCAGCTTCCAAAATTCTGGGATTATAGGCATGTCCCACCACGACAGGCAGAAACAATGTTTTAACCATTAAATACAAGATTACAATAATCTTTCTGGTAGGGGATATAAAATATCCTCCATTTATCCAACTGGATATATTAAGAAATAACTAACAAGGGGGGGGAAAGGGAGGGGGTGGGGGAAGGGGGGGAGAAATGACCCAAACATTATATGCACATACGAAATTTTTAAAAAATAAAAAAGTAATAAAAAAGAAATAACTAACAAAAAGACACTAATATACTTGGGAAGGAAAACCAGTAAATACTTTCTGTTTGGGTTTTCTTTTCTTTTTTTTTTTTTTTGGCAGCACCAAGGAGTTTGAACTCAAACTCTCACACACACTTGCTAGGCAAATGCTCTACCATTTGAGCCATACTCTCAGCCCAGTAAAATATTTTCAAATGAGAAATATTTTCAAGTTATACCAAAAAAGAAGTAAGTCTTAATACCTTTCAGACATCTTGTGGAGGGGGGCAGTACTGGGGTTTGAACTCAGGGCCTCACACATGCTAGGCAGGTACTCTATCACAACCCCAGTTCTTAATATCTTTTAAAAATTAATACTCATCATTAAAGACACTAGTACTAGCTGAGAATGGTGGCACACACCTGTAATTCCAGAACTCCAGATGGTTGAGGCAGGAGAATCTTGAGTTCAAGGACAGCCTGATCTACATAGTAAGGTGGGGTGGGGGCATGGGAAAGGGGGAAAGAGGGAGAGAAGGAGGACAGGAGGAGGGAAGGAGGGAGTTCGAAACCCCAATACTGCTTTAAAAAAAAAGTATAACTATAAGTAATTATATGTTAGATTCTATCACATTCCTAATCAATAAATACAGATTGTATACTTCAAAATATAGAAGTTAAAAGCCAGACTGTACAGGCAGAAAGACCTATAGTGACACATCCCTTCTAGTACCTATCTCAGGCAACTTTTCCAACTTTTTCCATTTATAGTGTAAATAGAGATGCTATACTACTTACCTTACAGAGCTGGTTGAAAGGATTATATATATAATATACATATAATTCTTCAGCAGTGTCTATAGCTACCATTACAACAGGAATTAATATACAGCATATATCCTAGTTTCTACATGTAGCACCATTTTTATAATGATAAAACGAAGAGGATGTATGAAAATCACTAGTAAGATGGGTCACTCATTCATTTACAATAGTCAATGACCTCAATTTCGGAGTATATACAGCAGGTAGTTTAATTTGTTCTGCTTGCAAATGCAGTCTTCAACAATTCCATAAAATAGTGACAGAAAAAAACTAAAAATCTTTGGTCTAAGTGGTTATTAGTCAAGAAGTAAGATTTATACACAAAGGTGAAAATATCAGATGATGGGTCAGTTTTTAAAGTTTATCAAATTGAGAAAGAACCTTCTTCCCCATCTATGTACTTAACTAATTAGTGAAAGTCAAGACTTAAGCAATAGCCACCTAATAACCTACACGAGAAAATAATTGGCAAAAATGTATGCATTGTTTTCAGAAGTATAAAATGGAAATTATTGTAGCTCATTAATAAAAGCTTGGGCACAACTACAGAATATCAAAAGGTGGTTTTTGTGTATTTGTTTTTGGTGGTACTGGAGTTTGAACACTCAGGACCTCATCCTTGCTAGGCAGGTGCTCAAAAGATGGTTTTTAAAACTGAGAATACTTATTCAGTCAACACACTTTGGGTATAAAGATAATATTTTAACATAAGTTATATCACTTTTTTAAATTGTTGTTTCTACAGTCAATAGCTCTTAGGAGCTATAAAAACCTTATACTCTCCTGTACTGAATATACCATATTCAATTTAACAAGATTTACATAAATTAATAGACATTCTCCAGTATTTTCGTCAATAATCAACTAAGATATGACATGAACAATAGCCTGTGAATTTTTCTTCTCCCCAGTCACTACTTCCAGGCCTCTTGAATCTAACTTTCTTTGTAAGAATGAACTCAATTATTTTGAGGAACAGTAAACATTAAGGACAGAGTAAGTAACAGATGAGTGCCTAGCTCAGTGATCTAGCCCTTGACTTGCATACTCAAGGTCATGGGTTCAAGTTCCAGCACTGCATAAATGAAAAAATAAAATGTACACAGGAATACTTTAAAAAAAAAAAAAAAGTAAAATGCTCTTTAACCTCACAGGTGTTCAACCACCTGAGTCATGCCTGAAGTCCACCTCCACGCTAATCTTCAAAAGTTCTTCCTGATCCTCTCCTTGTCAATTTGACCTGCTTATCAATACTCCATTCTGTTCATTAGTTATTTTAAATTTGCCCTATGTATGCAGCTGCCTCAGCTTTACTTATGGAAAACCCTCATCCATACTTACGTCTCTTCTTTCTCTGACTGCTGTAATTCCCTTCTCTAGGGCCTCACGAAATACCTACTCTCCAGACTCGTTTGTGGAAAATGCAGCTACCTGCCTTCTGAAACTTATAAAGAAATATAATTATCACCTCCATCTTCAAGCCATTCTACTGGATCCTTGTATTCATTTAAGATCCCACATAAAGTCCACCAGACTCTGGGTCATTTCTCAAATACTCCCTATTCATCATCTCCAACTATCTCTCTCATGCAATTAATAAAACTATCTACTACCCTGAGAAGGGTCTAACAACAAAATACTTGCATTAGAGGAATGAAACTCCAAGAAAAGTGCTATTAAAATGTTCCTTCAAATATCAAAATTAAGAGAAAAAGCAAAAACAAAAGCCAAACTTCACATTCACAGTTTAGAATTTGTACTTTTGTTACTTGAAACCCACTTCAATCCAGAAATTTGTAATTAAAATAGGTAAGAAAATAAATTCTGATAATTAGCAGCATGAGTCACTTAATTAAATAAAACTCACTTTCAGGACCCCATTATACTATTCTATATATTGGGCATATTCTGCTCAATATGCCAACATCCTCTTTTCCACCCATGAGGAATTCAATGCTACCTCCTCATATTTCTTAAATTATCATTCTAAATATAAAGCACAACATATTTTAAGCCAATTTTTCTAGTGCATAAAAAAATACAAAAATATTGTGTAATACATTTAAGATACAAATTTTAGCATACATCTGGTGTAATACATTTAAGATACAAATTTTAGCATACATAAGGAAGACACAGCAATAATAGAAACATCAGAAAATTACATCACAATATAAAACATAATCAAGGCATCCCCTTCAGATTTTAGAAGTGTCAAGATAAAAATCATTAAGCTGGCATCATCAGTTTTTTACAAGTCAAATCATCATAGAAGTGTAGAAAATCAATGATACAAGCATATATAACCTATCTGGGCTCTGGTGGCTCACATCCACAATCCTAGCAACTTGGGAAGCTACTAGCAACTTGGAAAGCTAAGATCTGGAGGATTATGGTTTGAGGCCAGCCCAGGCAAAAACTTCATAAGAACCAATCTCAACCAAGAGCTGGACATGCATGTCATCCCAAATTATGTGGGACTCTGAGATAAGGAGGTCTAGATCTAAATTATCTGCAAGCTGAGCATGGTGGCATATACATGTTATCCCAACACTCAGGAGGCAGAGTCCAGCCCAGGCAAGAAAGTTTTTGAGACCCCATCTCAATAGAAAAAAGCTGAGTGTGGTGGCATACACCTGTCACCCTAGTAATGACTGGAAGTATAAAATAGGAGGAACACAGTTCAGGCCAGCCTGGGCAAAAAGCAAGACCTATCCCAAAAATATTCAGAGCAAAAGGACTAGAGGTACACCTCAAGCATTGTAGCAACTACCTAGCAATCATGAAACCCTGAGTTCCAACCCGATACTGCCAAAAAAAAAAAAAGAAGAAAAAGAAAAGCTGAAAAAGGTATACTTCAAATATTAAGAAGTATTAGCAATACAAGTTTACAAAACTACAAAAACTCTTTAAAACAAAAGCTGGGCTATTCTGAAAGTAAAAATCCTATTCTCTTAATTCACATAATCAGATACAGGAAGTATCAGAACTAGTGAAAATCTGTATGATAAACTACCTTTCAAGAGATCCTGCTTGAAGTCAGATCCCAGTAATCCTAGCTACTCAGGAGGCAGAGATCAGGAGGATCAAGGTTTGAGGCTGGTCAGACAGTCTGAGAGACCCTATCTGTAAAATACACACACAGGGCACCCTCTCTTGGGACTGCCTCCCCTCCCCAACTCTGGGAGCTCAATTCTCCCACTTTACACTTTTCTATCTCAATAAACTCTCCCACATTACGCTTAAAATAACACAAACAGGGTTAGCAAAGTGGCTTAAGTGGTAAACAACCTGCCTAGAAAACATGAGATCCTGAATTCAAACTCCAGTAATCACCAAAAAAAAAAAAAAAAAGACAGAGAGATGCTGCTTTATAGTCTCACAGCAAATGAAAGAAAGCCACCCAAATGTCCATAAATAAATAGTGTGATCATGTAATTTATCATCAAAACCTGGACACATCTGATAGTGATAGGTGGGACTACTAAATATTATACCAGATACTGATATAAACCAGGACTCCAACATACCACCAATTTTAAGGTTCTATCCTATGCAATAAGAACTATAAAGATGTAAAACTAAAAGAACATTCTCTCTACGCTCTAAAAGGAAAAAATATTCAAGATTTACTCTTAACTGATATACAAGAAGATACAGATCAGTATATACAGTATGCTACTTTCTTGTTTTAAAAAACTGAGAAAATATTTACTTGTATTTGCATTTTTAAAACTCTGAAAAAAAAAAACAATGAGAGAAGAGCAGGGGAAAAGTGGGTATGTGTGAAACCAAGGCATTTTATCTTTCTTATTTTTTTTAAACCAGGTTCACTATTATCCATAAAAAAAAATAAAGTTAACAGCCCCACTCACACCCAAAATGTAAGTAACTTCATAGGTCTTAATGTAAGTTTGGTGACAACCACTTAAGCACAGAAGAAAAGCCTCCAAACAGATCTAAATCACAAATTCTAAACCTGCACAGTCTCAACTAGTACAGCTTTACAAAACATTGAAATTACAAAGCTTCAATATTCCCACTGCATAGAAGGGAAAGTATCTGGGGTTCTTGAACAGTTTCAACCATCAAGCAATAGTAGTAGCAACAAAAGATCATAATGTAGTTTCAGAAATAGATTTTAGAGCTAGCACTGTGGTTCAAGCACAGGAGGCCCTTAATTCAAGCCCCGTGCTAAAAAAAAAAAAAGGATTTTAATATTCTAAAGTCACAGAATTTAAAAAATCATTTGCTAGCTGGGCATGGTGACACCACATGCCTGTTATCCCAACGCTCAGGAGTCTGAGGCAGGAAGATCATGACTTCAAGAGCAGACCAAGCTACACAGTGCATTTCAGGCCAGCCTGGGATGTACAGTATATCCTTATCTCCAAAAAAAAAAAAAAAAGATAAAATTATATGCAACCTAAACTATGATATCAAGATGCTTTCCATTGATGACAATGATTTCACTACTATATTAACCAACTGTTATGTTAGTTAAGAATAACTTCAAATTTCTAAAAAAGTTTGCATAGGGTTGGGGATGTGGCTCAGTAACAGTGCTTGCCTAGCATGCACAAAGACCTGATTTCAATTCTTAGAAGCACAAAATAAATAAGTAAATAAAATACACATTAAAGTTTGTGTTGGTATCCTCTACATTAAATTACTCACCCTTTGCCATATTCCTCTATATTAACACAATTTCTCTGCAAAAAAGTACAAAGTCTCTACCATATACTCTGACTCAGTTTTTCCTGGCCAAGAGTTTTTAATTCAGCAGCAGAGCACTTGACTAGCATGCTCTAGAACCTAGATTCAATCCCCACAACAGCCAAATTACATTAAAAAATAAGTGCCTTTTCCTATTACCCAAATTAAGGACAAGACGTTGTTGGGGTTTTTTTTTTTTTTTTTTTTTTGGGGGGGGGAACAAACCCATACGCTATATGGATAATTACAATATTACTCCTGATTTACAACTATTAATCAAGAGAACCACCTCTAGTTCAGTCTATAAATTGTGCATAAATCTGTGTCAAGGCCAGAAGAGTATATTCTTTAAAACAAAAATTCTCTCTCCAAATAGAACTTTAAAATATTCTCACCTGTTCAGTAATTGAACTCAAATCATTTGATAAAAAATCTTCTTCATTCTCAAAAAATTCATAGTAGTTTTCCAAAAGTCCTGCCATTATCCTGCTCACAATTTCTTGTTCTTTCATATCTTCCACATCTGTATAAATGCTAAGAACAAGAATAAAAGTCCAAATTGAACTGCGTGCTTAAATTACAGGTAAAGTTAGAAGAGAATCTATGAGTCACTTAATAAAACTGAGCAATTTATGTCATCATTCTGTTCCTCAGTTTTCCCATCTGTAAAACCTACCTAATTTGTACCCTGTTCACAGCAGTGCTGAGAGGATTAATCAGATCTACTATAAAAAATAATGGTTCATCCAGCATCCTATGATCCATGGGAGACAATATAATGATTCTATTTCACAAATCCAATCTTTAAAAATTAAACAAGAATTTGTGAAACAACTTACTGGAAGACATCCGGACCAAAGACAGCAGCCAAAGAATTTGCAGACCAAATTTCTTCATGATGTGATGCTATGTTAGCTAAAAACCTACACAGAAACTTTAACAAACTGTAATTAACAGGTGGAAGCTGTTGCAAGAGGAACCTCAACTTTCTTCCAAATTCATCTTCGTTATTATAATCTATAAAACATAATGACAGGTTACCTTAATGAAGTAAAAAGTAAAGCTCAGATATTTTGCCAAGTTCACATTATTCCACCCACACCATTTTTTTACTGTAACAATTCAAAACCTCTTCACTTCCTCTACTAGAGGCCAAATACCTTAGGACTTTGCATTTCACTTATTAAGTGGGAGAAGTGTTGGAAATGGGAAGGTGGAGAAAGGAATTCAATCTCTCAATTTCTGAAGGTTGGTTTCCTTATCTATTACTAACTGGCCTCAATTCTTTAATTTTTTTTTTTCATTTCATCATACTGTTTTTTGCATGACTATACCTGTGTTTCTAAACTAGTGCCAACCAACTCTAAGAAGTCAAAATACATTGACATTGCCAGTCAATACAAACTACTAATGAACAAAATAGAGACACAATTCAACAAACTAATAGTATCAATAATAATTTTCCACTTCAATGAATGGAAAAACAAGGAATGAACAGTGCCCTGACAGACTTTCTTTCTTTCCCTAACATTCTAAAAAGAAAAATTAACTTTAGCATTATTACAGAACTAAATTAAAGAGTCTTTGGTTTTTCATTTGGTTTTCTCCTCTAAAATGATACAGGTTTCTTTCTTAACAAGTGAATTTTATCACAGAAGCTAGGCCTTGTGTTTGTCATGTTGATGAGTTTTCATTAACAGAAGCATAGCCTGTATTAACCAATGGATTGATGATGGTCCCACTTAGAAGAGGTAATTTCTTAGACGCACTCTCAAACTGAAGTAATTTATTTATTACTATATTCTATTTTGTAATTTTCTACAGGTTCTTTTTTTTTTTTTTTTTTTTGGTCATTTCTCCCCCCACTCTCTCCCTTACCCCCACCCCGGCCCCCTCCCTCTCCCCCCTACCCCCTCGCTACCCGGCAGAATCTACAGGTTCTTAAAATTAAGGAAAAGAAACTCTCTTTAAAAGGTATTGGTCAGGCACCAATGGCTCACACAATCCTTATTCAGGAGACAGATCGGGAGGGTCATAGTTTGAAGCCAGCCCAGGCAAACAGTTTGAGAGACCTTATCTCGAAAATACACAACAGAAAAATGACTAGTGGAGTAGCTCAAGCGGTACAGTATCTCACTAGCAAGCATGAGTCCCTGAGTTCAAACCCCCAGTACTGAAAAAAAAGAAAAAGTTATAGTCAAGCCGGTGGTGTGGCTAAAGTGGTAGAGTGCCTACCACTCTACCACTTTAGCAAGTACAAGGCCCTGAATTCAAACCCAGTACTGCCAAAACAAAAAACAAAGGTTGTGGACATCATATTGGCCAACTCTGCAAAACAACAAAAGTCAAAAAAGTGTACCAAGGGAGAAATGACCCAAACATTGTATGCACATATGAATAAAAGATAAAAAAAAAAAAGTGTACCAAGAAGGGATATAGTCATATTAGTTTAACTTAAAATTTAAAACAAAAATGACTTTTCTATACTTTGTAGTATTACCAACTGTCCATTCAAACGCACCAGTATTTTGATCTTAAAATTAAACAGTCCCTGGACTAATGTTTTTTAAATAATTGTGCCTGTAACTGGTAGAAAGTTAATTTTAATAATCTAAGTATTCTGTAAAAAACAGAAAATCATGTATATCAACTAAGAGCAAAATATAAGTATTACAAAACACAACTACTATACCATCACTGACTTACTTAACATACTCTCTACCTTTGTAGCACTTATCATCATGTGTCATATACATGTTTATTTTATATATATTTTATCATCTATTTCTTTCTACTCCCTTTAAAGTTTTAGCTCGAAGAGGACAGAGATTTTTTAACTAGTTTTGTTCAGTGTTGCATTCCCAGGAGCTGAATTAGCAAAATGAATACTCAATAACATATTTATCTATAATAAACAGAGAGAATAATCTTTGTTCAGAGATCTAAAAACTGTTAAAAGATAATGAACAAAATAAAATAAACAATATTCTTTTCCTCCTTCTCCTTTGCCTATGTCTTTTTGATCAATCATCAAAAAGAAAACAAGACTACAGGGATTCAAGAAGTTGCTATTCCCTTGACTACATCATATAGTCAAAAAGAACAAATGAGAAAATATGAAATTAATCTCTGAAATACTATGTTACTGATTACATGTCAAGATTTCTAAAAGGTAAGGACTCTAAATTAATAATGACAATTGATTAAGAATCAAATTGTTACCTTGAGAAAGCTGCATCAAGTGAATATGCAAACTGCCAGGAATAACAGGTTCAGGAAGTTCTTGAAGGAAAAACCTAAGAAGACTAATAGCTGAGGGAACATCTGCTTCCTTAACCAAATCCACTTCTTCTCCACTGTCGTATCTCTGCCGAAGCCACTCCACTGTCTCAGCATTTCCATTGACTTGAAAAAGTCCTTGTTGCTCCAGACCTCCTACATTAGTTCAAAGCAAAAATTAAGCTGCATTTTCCATTACTTGACCACATATACTCATTCTTTAATCAACTTAAAATACTTAAACTTTTGGAAAGCCTTTCTTGGCTCCCCAGATTTGGCTAAAAACCTTCAAATTACTCATTTAGAAACGTATTATCTCTGAGGGATATTCTATTTTATCCCACCCTTTATATCCATTAAAAATATTCCTATTACCCCCACTAAAAATGTTCTAGACTGGGCAACTGTTATTTCTAGGTATGTGAATTTAAGTAAAAACATACTAAAGCCTTAAAAAGAATTTTTATCATTTTTCATGTTTTGCACTTTCATATTAAAAAAATTTTAATCCAAGATCAAAAAGGGTTACGTTGTGTTTATTAAATCAAAAGCTAGCCCTCAAAGTAAGGAAATGTATACCATGTTCCTCAATATAGTCCACAACGTGGCGGACTATGAACGGAACCTCATTGTCTGGATGTCCTCCCTGCTGCAGCTCATCAAGTGGAATTCCAAATATTTTGTTAGCAAGAACGGAGTTGCAGTTACTCAAGGAAGGGGAGGAGCTCTTCCTCATATCTTTTTTGCAGCCAGAAATCAAAGCTGTCTTTTCTGCCAAATGAAAGACAAAAAAAAAAAAAAAAAAAAAAAAAGAACTATAATGATTAACAAATGGCAATATGACTAAATACATTAAAGAAAAATGCTTTATACCTGAATGTGTTCCATCTATTTGAAAATGTTCCAGTTACTAGGCCCATGGTGTATTTTACAAATAAAGTTCAATATACTTATCTAAGCATTTTTTCAACTATGAAATTAGCTTTCTCTTCCCCCTTTCCCCCACAGTACTGGAGTTTGAAATCAGGGCCTCAAGCTTGCTAGGCAGGCACTCTACCACTTGAGTCATGCACCAACCCATTTTTGCCTTCTCTTTTATTTCAGTACTGGAATTTGAACTCAGGGCCTATACCTCAACCCACCTCACCAATCCTTTTTTGTGAAGGGTTTTATCGAGATAGGGTCTTGAGAACTATTTGCGCAGTTAGCTTCAAACCATGATCCAACTGATCTCTGTCTCCTGAATAGCTAGGATTACAAGCGTGAGTCACTGGCTCCTGGCTCCTTTCTTTTTTCTTTTTTTTGGTGGTGGTACTAGGGTTTGAACTCAGGGCTTTGCAGTTGATAGACAGGTGATCCACCTACCTCCAGCTTTAATTATTTTTTCAAATAGGGTCTTACATTTCTTTTTTTTTTTTTTTTTTTTTTTTGCTATGCCTCCCACATAGCTGGTATGACAGAAGTGTACAACATTCAGCTTATTGATTGAGATGCGGACTGGGTAACTTTTTATTGATTGATTGGCCTGGAATGGCCTCAAACCAAGATCTTCCCAATCTCTGCCTTCTGAGTCCCAGGGATTACAGTCGTGAGCCATTGTGCCCAGTCATGATATTAGTTCCGAATGTTCTCTTTAGTGTTTGCATATTTAACAACAATGGCAAAACTGGCCAATCTAAATTTAGTAAGTAACATTAATGTCCCCAAAATAATTAAGTGTCAAATGTGATCCCAATAAGACCTTTACTGACCAAGCTTATTAATGACAAAGTTTGTAAAAAGCCAAACCCATCTTTGGACTCTGCTATGTATGAACTTCACCTAAACCCTCAATTCATAAATACTCAAACAGGAGAGAATCACTTTTTATAAAGTGATGGGCTTTTTATAAAGTGATGGGCTTTTTTTTGAGGTAAGATCTCAATGCGTAGCCCAGGCTGGCTTCAAACTCAAAACGCTCCTGCCTCAGTCTCCAAACACTGGGATCATAGGTATGCACTATCATACTGGCAATTTTTTTCCTTTTTTTGATTTTTTTTCTTTATTCATTTATTCATATGTGTATACATTGTTTGGGCCATTTCTCCCTTTTCTTTTGAATAATTATGAAACAACAATATTGATAAAAAGACTTCCTCACTGAACTGAAAAAAAGGTTCAAGGTCAGCCTAAGGTACATTCATAGTGAGTTCCAGGTCAACCTGAGCTACATAGAAAGACCTTGTCTCAAAAAAAAAAAACAAAAGACAAAAACAAAAAAGTCCAGAAGAAATAGTTAGCTTAACTTTGTAAGAATTTGGATCAGTAAAGAAGAAGTAGGAGAGGACCAGGTATAGTAGAACATACCTACAATCCCAGCTACTAGGAAGGCAGAGATCAGGAGGATCACAGTTCAATGCTGGCCTGGGCAAAAAGTTAGGGGACCGCATCTTAACCAGAAAAACTACCATCTCAACCAACAAGCTGGGCATGGTGGAACCAAGCATGGTGGTACACCTGTGATCCCACAACTGGAAGGCATAGGTGTAGGAGGATCATAGTTTGAGGCCAAGAAACCCTCTCTGAAAAATAACTAAAGCAAAAAATGGCTGGGGGGCATGGTTTAAGTAGAGCTCATGCCCCAGAGTTCAAACCTCAGCACCACAACCCTGCCCAAAAAAAAAGAATAGGAGGAAATAATGCCTCAGATGACTATCTCTGATATCTGAAGCATTAGAAAATAAGAAATCCCAAGAAAAATTCATTCTCTACATCTATTACTTTGAGGTGGGCACAGGTGGCTCATGCTTATAATTCTAGCTACTTATAATGAGACTGTGAAGCACTCTAGACAAAAAAAAAGTTTGCAAGACCCCATCTCAACAGAAAAAAGTAAGCACTCACCTGTCATCCCAGCAATGGTGGGAAGCATAAAACAGTAGAATCACAGAACAGTCTGGCCTGGGCAAAAAACAAGACCCTATGTCCAAAATAACCAGGGCAAAAAGGGCTAGATGGCTCATACAGTAGGATGCCTGCCTAGTAAGCACAAGGCCACGAGTTCAAACCCCAGTACCACACACACATACACACACGCATGTGCACACACATGCACAAGTGAACACACACATAAAAAAACTATTATTTTGTATTGGGAAGGAGTATCTTTAAAAGGAAGAAAAACTCAAAAAAAGATGAACAAGACACAACCAACTACAGATCACAAAGACAAATCTCAAGATTCTAAATTTTGAAGGAAAAAAAAAAAAAGAGGCCCATTGGATCAACTGTATACTCCCTGGATTTGGATCAAGAGTGTCACAACATGACTAGGAAGCAAACCAGCCAATTACAGGAACAGTAGAAATTAACTTAAGGAAAAGAAAATGCCATAAATTTACATGGTCAAGCAACAGCCTTTCTTTGACACACCTGGTTCCAGCTAATAACTCTAAAACCTTCAAGTTAATAATCAAGTAACAGCTACAAGAATAAATGATAGTAAAAAAAACAAGGGAAAAAAAGAACAGCTACAAGGGTCAAAATCTGACAATCTGTGGATTTACAAAGAACAGGTACCATTTTGAAAACTTACCTCTGAGTACTTAAACACCTAAGTTTAAAAAACGGCTTCTGCACCAGCTACCCTCACTGAGCAAGCATTCATTTGTCATTTATGGCTGTTTGAGATTATGGCAGAAGATCAGCCTGTAGTTCCTCATTGAAGAAACGCAGAACTTGATCAGTACTTCAGCAGTTAATCTAGGAAAAAAAACAATTATTTAAATTTCCCACAACACCTTTAACTGTGGGGGAAAAAACAGAGTAAACAGTGAAGTTCTTTTAGGAGTTTACCTATTCTGAATGGCATTCTTGGGCCTGAAAAATCTATAATCTATTAAAAGGCAAAGGTGGGGGGGTGAAGGAAGGAGATAAGGGGAAGGAGAGGGAGGGAGAAATTTCATGGGAGAATCTTTGACAAGGATTACACCATTCTAATGATTCATTTTCCTCAATGGAAGCTTCATTTGCACACAAAACACCCTACCCCACCCCATTCTGAGGATCAAAGAATCAATAGAACAATGGCTGTCTGAGCTTTCTGGTTTTAAGGAGCAATAGCACATGCTGGAAGAAAGAACAGAATCAAAAAGGCTTGGATTCAAATACTAACCCCACCATTTTATAGATAAGTAACTCCAAACAACTTCCATGTCTCTATGCTTAGGTTTCCCTGTATGAAGTTAAATTACCTAACAGATGTTACATTTAACTAAGATAATGTATTCAAGTAGTAGACAGGGAGTCTCTTCTGTCCTCTGCAAAATACTAAAAGACCAGCAAATGGAGCCAGGTGTAATAGCTTATCCTGTAACTCCAGCACTTGGGGGGGCTAAGGCAAAAAAGATCACAAATTTGAGGTCAACCTGGGCTACAAAGTGAGTGTTGGCAATAATGGCACTGATAAACCACAGGTTTCAGTTCTTACTGCATGCACCCTTAAGCTTCTGTTTCCCAGGGTCACGGTCCTGCCCCAAGTCTAGCTTGAATTCTCCTTCTGCCCCAACCTCCAATCGGCATGAACCATAAGATCCTAACCAATCAGATCATGCCGAGTCTCACTGAGAGGTATTTAAGCCCCTCCCCCCTTCCCCCTCCCCCTCCCTCTCCCCCCCCCCAGCTCTCTCCCTCTCCCACAGAGCAATAAACAATCTCTTGGCCAGATCACTCCTCTCCACGTGGTCACTTTTGGGGCCTACAGTGAGACCCTGTCTCAAAAAACAAAAACAAAAAGGGGGGTGAGGACAAAACAGCAAATAGGCTGAGGAGGAAAAAACTTGTTGGGCAGTATATTTAATATTAGATCTCATCATCCTCTGTAAATTCTACCAACAGATTTTTTAACATTTTTAAATAAACTCATTGGTAAAATACACTGTAATACTTTGCCCAAGCTCCAGGTAAGCAGAAGAGTGGGACTGTTGACAGCAAAATGGTGTTTTTAGAAGACCTTGGTTCTTTCGTTCCAGCATGGAAGAATCCAAGCAGAATGTGTGGGTGTAAATGGGATTTATTAAAAGTTAGGAAAGGAAATACAAAGGGAGTGCAGGTGGCAGAACAGCGTGCTTTTCCTCTTCAGGTGCTTTTAAAACCTACACTAACTCATGGGAGGGCAGACCCAGGAGATTCCCACCCTATAAATGAATAAGTGGGGAGGGGTATGGGTGGTTCCCAGCCAGGTGAGGGTGGTCTAGACCATCCCCAGGCAACCTACATGAGCCCCTAACTTTTCCTACTTCTAGCCTACCTCAGGATCATTTAATAGGATTTTCAAAAAAGTTCTATTACTTTGCTGAGGAACATCAAAACCTGAGAGAAGGAAACCAATTTCCACAACAAATCTTATTTCTTTTTTGGGGGACAGGGAAGGTGGGATTTGAACTCAGGGCTTGGCGGTTGCAAATCAGGTGTCCTACTACTTGATTATACCCCCTAGTAGATTTTGCTCTGGTTATTTTGGAGATGGGATCTTGCAAAATATTGCCCAGTCTGGCTTTGACCCTCAATTCTCTAGGATTACAGGCATGAGCCATTGACAAGTCTTTCAGTAGTTGATTACTTCCAAAACATCCTAAAAAGCTTGCTAAAACATGTACTTCATCTATTTATCTAAAAAAAAAAAAACCTTCAAAATTGACTTATATTAAAGATCCTTTAGAGAAGTTATCTCTAAAGATAAAAAAATTTACCTTAAAAGTCAAGTTACATTAAGTCAGGTTAGTACCCTGATAACATAAAGGAGGATTTTCCTTGGTATCCAATGAAGACTCATCAGACAATTCTGTCACCTGAGGGTATAGCTCAGTGGTAAAGTACACACTTAGAATGTTGGAAGCCTTGGGTTCAATTCCACACACACGGAAAAAAAAAAAAGATTTTGCTGAAGGCAAGTCGTATACATCACTAAAATGGCTACTATCTCATCTTGTGTCCTCTACTAGACAACTTGAAAAGCATTATCTTTCCTGTGGCAATGCTGAATAGGAATCTATGAACACATCAGGCAAAATTCATTCTCACTACTAGAAAAACAACCAATGGCAAAAATCGTTCAGATGATGAGTTTCTCTCCTTAAGAGCATCAATGATAATAATGAACCCAGCAAACATTAAGCGAGCAGTTATTATGCTCCAAGCAGTTCCATGCAATTTTCAAGTATTGAGAATGCAATACTGTAACCTTTATAAGATACTGCAGAGACGTTCTCCAAGTTATAGAGTCTGCCCAGCTAATAAGAGTTAGAGGCAGAAGTTGAACCCAAAGAACATAACTCCCAAAGTCTATGCTCTTCAGGGCTAGAGGTCTAGCTCAGTAATAGAGTGTTTACTCAGGATACAAAGACTCTAGATTCATCTCCAGTACCACCCCCCAAAAAAGTCCTAGCTCTCCATCACTTACTATTTGCCCATGTAAATTCTTACAATTTACAGTATCATAGAATCTCATAATCTCAAGATGGCCATAAAGTCTTAAATACATTACTTAGGAGTGCACTTACTCCTAGCTTACTAACGAACAAGTGCTTTAGGAGAACAAGCCTGTTCTCCAAAGCACACCAACTAATTATTCATTTGAGACTTCTACCTACAATACACTACTAGAGGCATGGCTCAAGTTGTAGATCATCTGCCTAGTAAGCAGAAAGCCCTGAGTTCAAACCTCAGTGTTGCCAGAAATAAATAGCATTTATATTCCCATCCCACAAAATAAAGAACCCTAACTAAAAAATCTCTCTGTGTGCGAATGCATCCATGCTTAGAGAGCATCACGTAACATAGAGTACACTGCTAAGACCACTAGGACCAGAGAATGGCCCAAAATAACATTTCTAAACACCACAAAAATATTTTTGACATTATTTAAACTTGTTTCCCATCGTTTTCCACAGCTTAAGTCATGTAAATATTGCTTTCACACTCTACTGGGTTGAATGATGTCCCCCCAAATTTTGAGGCCACCCAGAACCTCAGAATTGTCTTTATTTGGAAGTAAGAGCAAATTAGTGAAAGATTTCAAAATGAAATCATCCTAGACTTGGGGCAGGTCCCAAATTCAATGACAGGTGTCCTTTTAAGACAACAGAACACACAGAGAGGCCATGTGAAAACAAAGACAGAAACTGAGTTATACCAAAGGCAAGAAATGCCAGGAACCATCAGAAGCTGAGGAAAGGATTCTTCCCTTAGAATGGCCCCACCAACACCTTGATTTTAGACTAAGCCTCCTGAACTGTGAGAGAAAATTGCCTACTATTTTAGAGTCATCCCATTTTTACTGATTCATCACGGGAGCCTAAAAAACTAATGCTACATTCTAAACTACATTATTCGCCAGGTATGGTGGTACATGCTGCAATTTCAGCACTCAGGAAACTGAGGCAAGAGAATCTTAAGGTCAAGGAACCTTACTAAAATCCTATTTCAAAAAATAAAAAAAATGGCCAGGCGCCAGTGGCTCACACCTGTAATCCTAGCTACTCAGGAGGCAGAGATCAGGAGGATCGCAGTTCAAAGCCAGCCTGGGCTAATAGTTCATTAGCCCCTATCTCAAAAAAACACATCACAAAATAGGGCTGGTAGAGTGGCTGAAGGTGCAGGTCCTGAGTTCAAGCCCCAGTACTGCAAAGAAAAAATTTTTTTTAACGTAACAACAAAAGAAAAAAATGTTTTTCTTTTTTTGTGGTAATACTGAGGGTAGGATTTAGGACCTAGCACTTGCCAGGCAAGCGATCTACCAACTTAAGCTATGTCTCCAGCCCTTTTTGCTTTAGTTATTTTTGGGATAAGGTCTGTTGGGGTTTTTATGTTTAGGGCTGGCATAGACTTCAATTCTCCTATTTATGCTACACATCAACTTTTTGCCATTGGCCTCAAAACACAATCCTCTCAACCTCTCAATCTCCACCTCCTAAGTAGCTAGGTTTATAAGTGTGAGCTACTGTACCCAACCTAAAAAAGAAAATATTTTAAAAGTACATTATTAAATTCAAGGGCCAGAAGTATGATTCAAGTGGTAGTGTGCCTAATTACCCTAGTATCAAAACAATAAATAAATAAATGAAAACATAAGTGTACTTTAAATTCTCAAAAAAAAAAAAGGAGGACGATAGGGGAAGAAAAGTTGGGGGTGCACCTCAGTGGCAGAATGTGTGACTAGTGCGCACGAAGCCCTGAATCCACAGCAAACCAACCCCCACAAAAAAAAAAAAAAGGCAAAGAAATGTCCTGGAAATAGGATCAATACAATGCAAAGAAAGCAATTTCTTTTCTTTTTCACAACAGGGTCAATGTTGCCCAGACTCAAGCGATCCTCAGAGCTCAACCTCCCAAGTATCCAGGACTACAGGAGTGTTCCACTATGACCAGCTAAGAAAGCAATTAAATAAAAGACTTGACACAAGAGAATGTGTAGACTTTCAAAATAATCAGAGATTTCCAAAAGCATAATGTTACTATAAATCAAAACAGTAAAATGATTTTTAAAAAGTGACAGCGTCCTTGCATGGGGATATCACAAGGAATAGGAAATCGTGTTCAATCGTGCATTGTGTACTTCATGAGACAAGTGATAAGAATATACTAATAATAATCAATAAAACTAGGTGATAGGCACATTCAGGAGAGTATATCTTCACCTAAGTTCTGCTACAGCTTGGAGGTACTTTGCCTTCAGGTCAATTTACATATTCATACACAGTGTA